TGCAACAAGTGCTTCAAGGCCTCCTCACTTTCAGCAAGCAAAGTTCTGTCATCTACATAACACAGATTTTTTATGAGTCTCCCTCCAATCCTGATGCCACACTCCTCTTCATAGAGTCCAGTTTATTGGATAATTTACTCAGCATACAGATTGAATAGACATGGAGATAGAATACAACCTGACACACTCCTCAGTTCCAAACCATACAGTGCTCCCTTGCTCCATTCACACAACTGCCTCCTGATCTAGATATAGGTTCTGCATGGGCACAATAAAGTATTCTGAGATTCCTATTCTTCTCAATGTCAGCCACAACTTGTTATGATCCACACAATCAAATGCCTTTGCATAGTCAATAAAGCACAAATAGACATCTTCTGGTATTCTTAATTTATTCCTTATTATTTTCAAACAATATATTTAATATCTTTTTCTTCAATCTCCAAACCCATTTTAGACAAAATACTTCTAAATTGAAAAAGAATATTTTAATTGGTAATCTGGAAAAAAGATTATAATACATTTTTGCTGATGTGCTACAACATTTTTGGACATATGACATGTGGTATATTAGTAATTAATCTTATGTTTTAAGATTTTCACTCCTTGTAGTTGCAAAGGTAACATAGTTATAATTGATTTTGATGATTTGTGGATTCTGTAATAAGAAATTAAATTATTTGCTAGAATTTATTTGTAACCCCAAAATCAATACCTTGGTGCTTTCCTGGTTACTGTGGCTACAGGAAGAATGTTGAAAAAATTTGAGTTATTCACTAAGGTGGGAACTACAAAAAGGTCCTAAGATTGCATGGACCAGCTGCCACTTCAGATCTAAAAGCACCCAATCCAGTCTTTGCTGGACCCCTGCCCATGCTGGAGGAGGGTCTAGGGGGCAAAAAGCAGCCTGATCACCCTGAGGACATTTTGGCAAAAAAATTCCTTTCTACTACTGATTGCACCAAGGTTGGTCTTTGGTCCTAGGTTTGGTCATTTGTAGTGCTAGGGTTAGGACTACAAACTCAGAATTTCATGTCTACAAAGGTGCCTACTGATATTCTTTGGACAATTTCCAAGCTTCTAATTTCCCCTTCTCTATCTGCTGAACTTACTTTTAAATGAACATTAGAAAGAAAGAATCTCAGGCTGAAAAGAAATGGGTGTCTAGTTTTTGCAAAGACAGTTCTTTAAAAATGTGACTATGGATTTTGCTCAGTAGGAATGGAGGCATTCTGAGCCCAACCCAGAGGCTCATGTTCAGATGTGTCTGGATATTCATAGGCTTGGTCTCTCTTGAGAGAAAAATACAGACTGTCTAAAGTAAAGGTATTTTCAAATGCCTTGGAATTTCCTGTTGATTAAGACCTGTGCTAATACAGCTGAGCAGGATGGATTGTGTTTATGTTATTTTCCAGAAAAAAATTTTATTTTAAAATAAATTTCATTAAGGTAAGTTTGCATGTTGTAAAGTGTACCCATTTTCAGTGTAGTTTGATTACTTTTGACATGTGTGTAACATCCCCAGAATCAATATATATCAATATACATCCCCAGAATCAACATATATCAATATATCATATGACTCTTCCCAGTCAATTCCTCCCATTCCCTAGGTATTATATATTGAATTTGCATTTTCTATAATGTCATTTAATAAAACTATACAGTACTTAGCCTTTTTTGTTGTTGTTGTTTCTATTGTTGTTGTTTTATACTGTCGAATCAGATCTGACTGGCACAGGAGGAGATTGATTGCCCCTCCTTCTCCAGTGGAACATCTGGTGGATTCGAACCATGGGCCTTTCGGATTGCAGTGCAGTTTCTTGTCACTAGTCCGCCAGAGCTCCCTTAGTGTTTAGCCTTTTGAGTCTGACTGTTTTCATTTAGAATATTGCTTTAGAGATCCATCCATGTTGTTATGTGTTTCTGAAATTAATTGTGCTGGGTACTGTTCTGTTGTAAGAATGTACTACAGTTTGGTTTCCATTCACCAGCTGATGGACATCTAAGTTGTTTCCACTTTTGGGCTTTCAGGAACAAAAGTGCTGTGAACATTTGCATATACACAAACAAAACTGTGTAATCCTAGGCAAATCTACAGAGCAGCCTGCCTAGCAGTAAATAGGCTACCCTGCTGAGCAGGGGGAGTCAAGCAGTTGATGAGGCCAAGTTATAAAGAACAGCCAGGTTAGTAAAAAGCAGTGATAGCCAAACAGAGGGGGAGGGGTGGAAAGTGCATATTGAGTGTAGGAGCATAGAGAGGACTGATGGTCAAGCATCTTTCAATGCATGGGGAAATGGATTGCACCATTATTGACAGGACAGAATAATACATACACTTAGTTGTTTTTAGTTTGAAATAGGATGGAATTGGGCCAATAGGGCTTTTTTTCCTGACTAATTCTTCAGGACATTTCAGAAGGCCCTTCTTGGAAGTGGAGCTAAACAATTCTATCTCCAATGTTAGAAAGTCTTTACTGGCTTTTTGGACCTTGGGTCAGAATAAATAATCTTGGCAAACAGCGATAAAGAATTCTACCTTAAGGTTTGTTGGGAAGATTAAATGAAAAAATATGTAAATCACTTAGCAAGTGTTTGGTGCATAAGGAGAACTCCATCAGCATGAGTTTTTGTTGTGTACTGTGGAGTCGGAACCAACTGATAGCTGACCCTTCAGCAGATTTTCAGAGGCAGTAAATAAAAGCATGGGCGGAGACTGTCCATCTTTTTCCTACAGCTAGTAGATTCAAACCGTGTGCCTTTGGGGTTTTAGTGCAGCTTCTTAGCACTTGACCACCAGAGCTCCTTAAGTAAGTGTGAGTTACTATATTTAAAAATCATGTACTCTGAGTAATAGAGAATCCAAAGATAGTCTTTGAAAAATTAGAATATTTTAATATACTCTCTCAGAAGTGATGCAGTAAACTCTTTGAATATTATTTATATAATCACTGAAGAATTTGTTTACTAATAAAAATCCAGTTAGATTTTAATCAACACACCAGTCACAAAAACTGAGAGGATTTGTACCACTGTGCTGTGCCCTCACATAGCAGACATTTTCCTCTCAAACTAGAGTAATCATCTCAGGAATTTGTCAGTAAATCCAGTTCTGTCTGTGTTTGTGTAAGAAGAAGGAGCCTGGTGGGCTAGAGTGTAGACCCCCTAGGGTTGTTCACTTAAAGGTCAGAGGTTGGAACCACCCAACAGCTGGCTCTGGAGGAGAGAGACGGCCTTCTCTTATCAATAAAGCCTGGGAAAATATGGATTCAGGTGCCACATCAGTATTGATTTGAGGCTGTGGGGAACTCATTCTGTACCTGTGTGGCCTGGAATCTTCTGGGCCAGTTTGTTGTGTGTGTGTGAATCTGTGCCTGCTGAACCTGTTCCTTGTGGTGGAATTAAAAAAAAACACAGAAGCAGAGAGCTTGGGTATAAGTCCTGATTTATTCCTTCCATGATGTGAGTCTTACATTTCCAAGTTTTCTTTTCTCATCCCCCTGGAGGGGTATCTGTACTTACCTCACTAGGCTGGAGCAGGGATTACAGAACAGTGCTCAGTAAACGCTGCCGATCCTGTTAATTCCATGCTTTATTTTATAGTCTTATTCCCCACTTCCCCAACATTCATTGGCATGTAACTGAATGCACTGGAACTACTTTAGTAATTCAGAAACCATTCCCAACTACAGTCAGCTTTGTAAACACTGTTGTGATTCTTAACTTCCCTAGAAAGATAGGGCCTTCTTCAGCTGCACCGAGGCTCAAGCTAGCGACTTTAAATGATTTCTTTTAAGGAATTTGACTGAAATTATTTAAATGACTGTAATAAAAGTAAGTCCCGAGAGTTCAGTGGGGGACATTTACACTTGGAAAACAAAAGCCAGTTCCCTCCCACTGGCAAGGAGGCTGCCCTTTCCCAGGTCGGCCTCCTGCGCTTCCCGCCGCGGCTCACTGTCTCCTCCCCGCTCCGGGCAAGCCCAGGTGCCCCGGCGCCCATTGGAGGGTTTGTCTTTATTGATTCATTCAGCGCGCTGCCGCTTCCGGCACCAACACCAGGTGCAGGCCTTCTCCAGGTGACTAAGAAGCGCCTTTCCCCACTCCTTCTCTATGGCGCTTCCCAGCGCATTTAGTTCGTCAGTGGCTCCAGACTGAGGCCCGTGGTCTTTGGGATGCTCTCCTGGGCGCACTCGGAGCCTCAGAAGGGGGCGAAGTGCAGGCTAGAGGGTTTCCTTCTGTGCTACGGGTGGGTGTGCGAAAACGTGGGTCCTTCCGTGGGTACCTCCTTCCGGATGCCTTGCGCTGCTCGGTACTGACAGCCAAATCCCTCCTCTGCGCCAAAAGTGCCTGCGAGAACAAGCTGGTATTTGAATACCGCGCGCTTTTCCTATTGGGGAGTCTCAGGTCTCAGGCGCTCACCTTTTGTAGGGCGGGATCCAGGTATTGTATTCTTAAGTGTTTTTTTTTTTTGTTTTTAAATGCTTTCTTTTGGCAAGTCGTTCTCTAGAAGAAGGCTGCTGGCACTGTTTCTTCCATTCTGATCTTTCTTTTTTTTTTTTAATTTTTCCCCCCCATTCTGATCTTTAAAAACGTTTTAGAGAGCAACTCCACCAGGACAGTAATACTATAGTGTATTTACCCTAGCCTGTTTGAAACGTGCGTATATATTGAGAAAAGGATTAAAAAGCAAAGTCTTAGAACTAGGGACAGTTTATTCTGCGTATGCAATGATAGGAACTGTTAAAACTTCCTGGAGTCTGGGAAGGTCCCAGTTAAAGAAAATGCTATTCTAAGTAGTACTAAAAAGATATGGTGTTTAAGCAAACGTCAAAGAGAAAAAACTAGGGCTTGTTTTGTTGTAATGGACGTTACAAAGACACTACTCTAATTTTCCTATGGGACACTCTGCTGTATTATCATTTTGGCTGTAGTTTACAGTACTAAAGGAAAAATTGATTCTCATTGTTGGTTCCCCCCCTTCCCCCCCTTTCATTTTTCAGTCCAGGGCACAGCCACCAGAAGAGAGCAGAAGAAAGCCAGTTTTGGGGAAACTTGGCCATCTGTTTACAGCAGGAAGGAGAAGGAATATCCGAAATGGAGCAGAAAGTCCCACCAGCCCAAATGCCAAACCAGTCTCTCCCAAAAATGTGACATCGTCTAAGCTCCAGGAGAGGGAGAATGAGAAGCGTAAACCACAGGGCGGCCAACCAGCACCAACAGACACGTGCCAGGAGCGCTCCACTTCGGAGGTGGAGGGAGAGCCCCCAGAGAGTGGTGTGCAGACAGCCCCCCAGGACGCCGACTTGTCACCTCGCCTGAGCAGCCACACAGCGGAGGCAGAGCACCAGTGCCATGAAGGTGATTCATCCCAATTAGAACCTGTGGAGGCAGAGGGAGAGACTTTCCCAGGTGCCACCACCGCTGCCAAGCAGTTGCATTCCTCGCTAGAGAATTCCTTCAGGCAAGAGGACGCAGAGACGCCCGCACGCGGTCCAGGGGAGGACTCGTCGCCAGGCGCTGGCCGAGAACAGGAGGCACCCCGGGATGCGAGGGGTGTGCCAGGGGGGCCCATTGCAGGAGTAGGCGAAGCCCCTGGCCAGGTCCCTGAGGTGTGTGCTGAACGAGGTTCTCTGGGACCCCAGGACGCGAGCAGCCAGCACCCGGAGGAGGACGCATCAGCCCCACCAGGTGACCGGTCCTCCGAGGGTGCAGAGAATAGACCGGGCTCCGTGCAGTTAAGCGACAAAGCGGGGTCTGGAGGGCGCGCTCATCCCTCCAAAGTGCTAACTTTGGACATCTACTTGAGTAAGACTGAGGTCTCCCAGGTGGACGAGCCGGTTGTGACTGGTGCTGGCTCAGAAGATTGCTGCGATTCCGACGACATGGAGAAAAGATCTTGCGGTCGCAGGTCCGGGAGGCGGAGGAAGTCGCAGAAGTCCACCGACTCCCCGGGCGCAGATTCCCCGGGCGCAGACGCAGCGCTGCCGGAGAGCACAGCCCGGGACGAGGCAGTGTTCGACGACGAGGTGGCGCCAGACGCCGCCACCGCCACCGCCACCGCCACCGAGAGTCTCCTCGCGGAAAAGAAAGTGAAATCGCCGCCGCCTGGCCCCGAGGGGGGCGTTGCCCCTGCAGCGAGCCCAGAGTCCAAGGCCAGCCCTGGCCTCAAAGGGCAGCCCCGAGGGGAGGCGGACCGGAGCAGGCAGCCCCCAGCCTCATCTCCCACCAAGCGCAAGGGCCGGAGCCGCGTCCCCGAGGCCGTGCCCACCATACCGGCCAGCAGTTCACGGACTCCGGTCAAGGAGGTGCTCCCAAAGAAGACGCCCGACGCCGGGGCGCCTGTCCGGGGCGCTGCGGGGGAGAGCGGCGAGGAGGCGGCCCGGGTTGTTCCCCGGGAGCTCACGGTCAAGAGCAGCTCACTGCTGCAGGAGTTCAAGCCCGAGCACAGGAGAGGCTCGCTCCCCAACCACTTCGACAGCCGGGGAGAGGGAAGTCGGAGTAGAGACCCGGGTAGATCCACAGGAGCGTCTGACGGCGAAGGCTTGAGGCCCCGGAACCACTTCGGTGCTGGCAGGTCAACGGTGACCACCAAAGTGACCCTGTAAGTAACTGCAGACCTGGGCCGGGCAGGGCTGCCTTGTCCGCTCCAGCACAGGGGCCCCAGGAGAGGTCAGTGCACTGGGCATGAACTGGCTGTGCATTGCAAAGTCTCTTTGTTGAATTTAACATAGTGAAAGGTCTGTTGACACAGCTAAGGTTTAAAAAGATGTCACATTGGCAGGCCAGTCAATTGTTAATTCCATTTTCATATAAGACCCAAGTTAAATGAATATGAAAAAGAGCCATCAGTCTGAAGTTAATTGTTTACATAATAATAGAAGTGAGGCTGCATGGTGTGGCATGAGCTAATTCTGTTCTTTATTCAAAATGAACACCAGCATTTCTTGGTAAAATCTTGAAACACTGTTCATGTAGTGAATTTGAAAACTTGCCATAGTCTGTACAATATGAACCAGTAGCTTTTTTTTTTTTTTTTTAGTGGAACTCAGTGCCTTATTGACGGAAACTTTATTATTTCCTTGTATAAGTGTCTGGATTGCTTCTTACCCTATGTAAAGTTAAGGAGGCAGAAGAGATTTTTGCCGCTACATTGAAAAGTAACTTTTAGTTATTGGAATGAAGAGAGATTAGTGTTGTTACTGGAAGAATATTCTAAATAAAAGGATATATTAGAAAAATCATGGCCAGCAATAGACAGTGTGACCTTTTCATAGTTCACTGAGGTTACCTTATTGATTTTAGAAATCTGTACCTGCTGTCCATGATATTGTGTGAGATATTATGGGAACTGGAAGATAAACATGAAAGAACTACTGTTCAGTACATTGCCCTTTAAAAATTTATAGTCCTGCCTGGCACACAAGTATAGACAAATAACTAGATGAGATGGTGTCTGATTAAGTGGCTGAATAGATGCAAAGGCTTGTGCTGTAGAAGGGAGGAAGAAATCACAGTTGGTTTGTTTTGTTTTGAGTAAGTGGGGCCTGTGCCTGGATGAGGAATGTGGTTTTGTGGGTGGTCTGGATAGGGAGGGCATCTATTCAGCTATCCAGATCCTCCCATGCACCATGATCTCCTTCCAGGTGTGGAAAATGAATACCCACCCTTTCTCATATTTGCATTTATTTACAAGAGTTGATACTTCCGTATTATATTTCTTGAACTGAAAAATTTTATCTGACTTTTTGAATTTTTGGGTAAGTGAGCTTTAGAGTAGGAGGGGCATTTGGTAAACAGTTGAGAGGGAAGTGTACTTAATGAGTAACTTGAACTTTCTCACCGGTTGCTAAGCTGGAGAGCTTTGATAGAGTCAGTTATTTATTCTGTAACAGCCATGGTATGTTGGAGAAATGACATGAGTGAATGATGCCCATTATTTGTAGAAGATCAGTATGACTGAATGTTCATACCCCCAGCTTCACTTGTCTTCCAATCAGAGCACACTGGTGGAAAAACCAGAAATGTTACAAGTGTTAAGCAGTAGGGTAAACAAACAGCACCAAAAGGATCTTACAATAAAGCTTTTCTTCTTGTGCTGGTTGGTGGAATAGAAATAAACGAAATGTCTTTTTCCCCTCACCCGATTGTTGAACTCTTCCAGATTTTTTTTTTCTTTACCAGACAAAGTTTATATAATTTTTATTATGCAGTGTCCTGCCCATTGTGAATTTTCATTCTGTTGAAATGGAACATTAATCATTCTTTTTCTGCACCTTTGATCTATTTCTGTTTGAATGATAGAATTTTGTCCCCACTCATCAATTCTTATGACTGTCTCAGGAAAAGGTGTTAGGTTATTTTTTTAAAAATAATTTTGGACTGAGAACTAGAAAACTACTTTGTATCACCCCAAACCTAATGATTATGAAGCAGCATGTTTCTTGAAACTGTTAAAAAATATTATTTAAGTTCTCTACTAAGTAATAATGGTGAATGTTGACAATCTTAGAATTTAGGATTAGGAAAATATTCCTTTCACATTATTACTGTAGCTTTTTTTCCTTATTATTTTCCCGTAATGAAAGCATTACAACATGAATTATAGAAGCCTTCCTTTTAATCGTCTGAACTAGGTTAATTGTAGTGACTCTTGGTAGGAGAACTTTATAGTACAGAAAGTTTGGCTGTAAAATGTATTTTGATCTTAGTATAAATCTTTAATATGCAGTTATGTATTTCCTGTCCTTCAGGGACCTTGCTTGCTCACCTCTAGCCTTGTCCGTTCACATCTTAGGATCTTTGACTTGAATACTGCTTTTTGAGCACAGGTGTTAAGATATTTTTAAAGATCTCTTTCCTGCATCTCCCATGAACTAGTAGCTCCTTATGTCTAATCATATGAAGGGTTCTAAAGATGTTGTCTTTGAGGAAATGATTATAAGCTGATTTTGCTTTCTAAGTTTAAGATAGAGGCCCACAGCTCGAGAACTTGGATATTTTATGGAACAATTGGAGGAAACAACACCTGATATTCATGGGCATACATATCCAATTTAGTATTTTAATAGATCTTTCCAAAAAAGAAAATCTAAATTATCTGTGTTGTGGCTGGGAAGGACTTGAAGGTCTCCAGGTCAGTCCCCTCATTTTATCCAGAGGATAGGTGTTTTACTCAATGTCATACCTCCAGTTCCTGTAAGAAACATGAAGCTTCGCAGATCTAACCTTCTAGGAAGCCCTGTTTTCACAGCCATCAATCCCTGTGGGAGCCTGGGAGCCAGCTCAGTGTTTCTCCACTTTTTCCTCTGATTGAGGCAACCTCTAAAGTCTCATTCTGTTCTCATATTGCTGTAATGACAATTCCTTGACTTCTTGAATGATGAAATTGAAAAGAATCAGAGGAGGTCATTCAAGGAATCTAGTCTCACACACTTTGGGCATGTTGTTAGGAGGGGTTAGTCCTTAGAGGAAGACTTTGTTGCTTGCAAAAGTGGAGGATCAGTGTAAGAGGAAGATCCTCAACAAGATAGATTGACACAATGACTGTAGCAATGGGCTCAAGTATGTTAGACATGGTGAGGACGGCAGTGGATAGGTTAGGTTTCAGATCCATTGTTCTTAGGGTTGCTTTAGGTTATACTTGATGTCATGTTGACATAACAAGAAGTCTGATCTTATAAGGACATTGATGGTTCACTGGTAAAATTTTCACCTTAGAGCATCTTACAGCCACTACCTGCCAATGCTGGCTTGTTTGTTACTCTAATGCTGAATAGCCTTCAACAGAGCTTCCAGACCCATATGTACTATGAAAAAGGCATGGCAATCGACTTCTAGAAATCAGCCACCAATAAAAATGCTACAGATCACAAAGGTTTGCTTCCAGGCTGATTGTGAAAGTGGTAAAGAAGTAGGTTGTCAGCCAGGGCAATGGAATGCAGGACTGGGCAGTGTTTTGCACAAAGGGTTGCCATAAGTCATGGGCTGACTCCAGTTAGCAACCACAACCACAAGAAGACTGGCCTTCTCTGAAAAAGCAGAATAGCCTACTGGTTGGGAACATGACATTTGTAACAGGGGATCCTGGCTGCAGATCATGGCTGTATCTGATCTGTGTAGCTTACCTTCTCTCATCTGTGGTTTCTTCATTTTAAAAGAGAATGTGAAAAATTGTATATTAGGCAAACTATCTAAAGCATTTCTCAATCAATGAATAGAAATCACTGAGGGTCTGTGGTTCTTATTTATCTCTCCTAACAACCATCTATTTTCTAAACCACTAGATCAGTGGCTTCGATTTATTTTTTAAAGCTGTCTTCCAGGAAAGCTTGTATAAGATGAATATGTAAAGCACATTCATGGGCGTATTCTAGATGAAAGAAGGGTAACCCAACTCTTAGTCCCAACCACTCATAAACCTAGTCCTTGAAGAGAATGCCAAGAGTTACTGCAAGCATAACTTGGGGAGTTAGAACTCTCTTCTGAAACACCTAATAAAATTCATAGCTGGAGAAGGTGGTATCCAGAGAGGTAGATCTTTAGTGTAAAAGCACGCACCAGAGTCAGCTAATGCCAAACAGAGAACAATGCATTTCTCAGAATAAAAATACTGTACTTTTAAAGACTTATTCTTTTTATTTGAAAGTAATTATACCCTGGAATTGTAACAGAAAAAGGGGCCACTTCCCCACCCCAGGAAATGGTGACAAAAGAATAATTGTGTAAATTACACAAATATAATTATGTAATTGATAACTTATGGTACATCCTTCTGATAGACTTGCATCATATACATTAAAGTAGTAAGAAAACTTTTTATGTTAAGTAATTTTTAATAAAGACATCAAGCTCTATGAACAGGATAATCTCAATTCTATTAAAAATATAACTGCATAGGAAAATACTTGAAATAAATGAAAATGTTCAGGTTTATTCTCATGCATGGAATCAGGTTATGATCTTTTATTTTATAGATCTTCTAAATGTCTGTGAAGGAGTTTGTATTAAGAAGGCATCATCTGTGGAATGTTTCACTGTGAAGTAAAAGGCCTTGAGCATCTGTTGGTTCGAACCCACTGATTGCTCACTGGAAGAAAGATAGGCTACCTGCTGTCATTAAGATTTGCAGCCCAGAAACCCCATGGAGCGTGGCTTAGTCAGACTGACTCAAAAGCAGGGAGCTTTGAAATTGCTATAGAGAATGCATCTTTATAATCAGACAATATTATAAAAAAAAAAAGAGAATTTTAAAAATCCTAAGAAATCAGTAATAGAAAAATGCTTTTCAGAATCTTACCTTTTGAGACATATTTTTAAATATGGTGAATTTCGGAACAGAGCTGAAATGAAGAGAATACTCATTGCTGATCACTTAATATTAGAGCATAAGTTATGTTCCAAATGGAATACATGTGAACTAGAAGTGACAGTTTGATGTGGGATCAGTAAATATGTATAAAAAAACAAAACTATGGTGAAATACAATGAATGAATGAAAATCCAAAATCTCTGTAAATGTTTATTAAAATTAATAAAATTTTTTAAAAACCTGTGGTGAAATAAAGATTTACATAATTGATGTGTGGGAAAATGATACTGTTTAAATTCTGCATTTGAAATATGGAAGTACATTAAGTATTTTAACTTGTTCTCAAACTTCTTCAGGTCCTGTAGTGTTGTTTTCCAACTTCATTGCCAGTCATTTTAAACTGACTGTGCTGGAGTTGATTATAAAACTGCCCTGTAGAATTTTTTGCCCGATAAATCTTTATAGGATCAGGCCTCATCATCATTCTCCTGTGGAGAGGCTGGTAGGTTTGAGCTGTTGTCCTTTCAGTTAGTAACCTACTGCTCCACAAGAGCTCCTCTGTTCATACATATTAAAAACCAAACAAACAAACAAAAAACTCACCTCAAACTTGTTGCTGTGGAGTCAGAATGGATTCATAGCAGACCATTCATTTGTAAGCATTTTGTTGTTGTTGTTGTATACCATCAAAGTGGATCCAGCTGGCACAGGAGGAGATTTGAACTGCATGCCTTTGGGATTGTAGTGTGGCTTCTTGCCCAGACCATTCATTTGGATTTCCAGAGCTGTAAATTGCACTGGATAAGATTATCTATCTTTCTCTCTTGTTGCTGCTGGTGGATTTGAACCACCAGAGAGGTGTGGCCTTTGGGGTTAACAGTACAACTCCCTCTGGACTATGCTCCCAGAGTTCTTGTGTACATGTATTAAGTACTCAATATATTTTTTCAAGTAAATTAAATTCCACCTTAATATCTTTTTTTTTTTAAATTTAGGTTGTTTATTTTACATTTCAATGAAGATCTACAGAGATTTTGGGATTCCATTCATTCATTGTTGCACCCTTCTCCCCACACAAACCCCTCCCCCCTCCCCCCAATATCTTTCTTATATAGTCTCCTCATTCCTCACAAGCAAAATCTTCATTAAAAATAGTCAATGTGTTAAGGATTTTTTAAAAAGTTTCATAAAAAGCAAATGTCATGCAGAAAGATGTAAACTTTCATAGACTGGGAAATAAATTGGTCTTTGTGTTTACTTTCTGAAGGGAGGCCATTAACTCTATCTTACTGCTTTTTTCTTGCAGCCCTGCCAAGCCTAAGCATGTGGAACTAAATATTAAAAACCCCAAGAATCTTGACAGTTTGGGAAATGAACATAATCTGTTCAGTCAGCCAGTTCACAAAGGAAACACTGCCACCAAAATCTCCTTATTTGAAAACAAACGGGCAAACAGTAGCCCAAGACACACTGACGCTCGAGCCACCAGGAACATTCCTCCTGCTAATAAAACATTTGTTGGGCGAGCAAAGCTGAATTTAGCCAAAAAAGCCAAGGAAATGGAGCAACCTGAAAAGAAAGTAGTGCCAAATAGTCACCAGAATGGTGTGCTGGTGAAGGATACCCTTGTAGAAGCCAAAGTGTCTGGTCTTGAAGAGGAGACTGTAACTGGTAGTCCCAGCATTAGAAGACTAGAAGGAGAGCCCAGCAAGGATCAATCTCTCAGTTCTCAGTTCACTCAAGGGGATAAAGCAGATGTGCAAATAGATGCAGTTGTTACTACTCTGGAGCCTGTTGAGAGCCACAAGCTTTTGGAAGAGGACAGCCCGAAGGCCCCTGACAGCAAAGGACTTGTACTTGAAAACAGGACTGATTATGCACAAGACAGTCTTGTGCTCCTTGATACCAAAGGATCCCCTCCAACAGCCATGCCAAAGCCACAGGATATGGTTTCTGACTCACAGCCCCCTGCTGAGTCATCTTATGAGCCTTCTCTTTCATTGTCTGCACCCGCTCTTGTGGATACTCCCAAAGACATTTGTGCTGCAGATGCCATTAGCAATGTCTCATGCACTGATAGAAAGGTGTTAGAAAACCACAATGGATGTGTTTTGCCTGTGTCTCATCAGAACAATGAGAATGTGGCCTTTTCCAAAGCTGGAGGAACAGAAAGAGAAGAAGTAAACCCTCCTTTGTCCACAGAAGCTGTGGAAAAAGAGTGTCCATCCAAGGTCCTTGTCCAGGTGAGATCCTTCATGCTCCCTGTGGAGAACACGCAGGATGTAAGCTCCCAGATCATCTCAGATTGCTCTGAAGTTAGAGAAGTGCAGTTGCCAAGTTTTCATAATCATGAACATGAAGTAGTTTCTGTTGTAAGTGGTGCTCCCCAGAAAGAGGAAGTGCCAGGCAATAAGAGCACATCGCCCAAACACACCCATTGCAAAGAGGAACATGCGGCAGAATCTGGCCCACAAGCCATGCCCCTAGAGTCAGGAAAAACACTGCCTGTCCAGACTCCAAGTCAGGGCAGCACAACAATCCTTATAGCTGGGCCCAGCCCTGCCGACTCTCCTAGCCTCAGAAATAACTTGGAGGGTTTGCACAAGCCAGATACAAATGTAGTTAATGGCCAGGGCAGCCCTGTGGGTCCTTTGAACATTTCTGCCTGTAGTGACGATAGTGTATTAGATTCTTCTTCTGATATGGAAAAATTCACTGAAATTATAAAAAAGATGGACAGTTCGATTTGTGTGCTCCAGAAGAAAAAGAAGAGCCGAGTGCCCAACTCTCCTGCCCCTCACTTTGCCATGCCCCCGATCCATGAAGACAACTTAGAAAAAGTGTTTGATCCCAATGTGTTCACCATTGGTTTGGGGAAGAAAAAGGAAAATCAGCCAGAGATGTCACCAGCTTTACATCTGATGCAGAACCTTGATGCAAAATCCAGACTGAGACCCAAACGTGCATCCACTGAACAGAGCGTCGTCTTCAAGTCATTGAGCTCTAGCACTAATGGGAAAACGGAACCAGTGGTGGCTCCAGAAATAAATGACAAAGAGAACAGAGACACCACCAATGGTGGTGTTAAGAGATCCCGGCTAGAAAAGAGTGCACTTTTCTCAAGTATGCTGTCTTCTTCTTTACCACAAGACAAAATCTTTTCTCCTTCTGTGACATCAGTCAAGACCATGACTACGTCTTTCAGCACTTCTCAGAACAGTTCTCTTTCTTGGTCTTCAGTACAGCCCTTGATGGAGGGTGCCCCACCCTGTGCTTCAGACAAAGAACAGCCACATCTGCCCAGTAACTCCTTAAAGGTCTTCAATTTTGACTCATCAACTACATCACACTCTGGTTTAAAAAGTCCAACCTATATGGAAAAATACCTGCAAAAGGAAGGCACCAAAAAAGAACTGGATTTAAGAAGCAACCTACATTTGCCAGAAAGGAAATTTTCTGAACTTTCAAAACTTAAGAACAGCGATGATACGGAAAAGACCAATCATATTGAAAGTGTTCTTAAACCAAGCCTGCCAAACTTTGGAAACAGTGACACAGACTTCACGGGGCTCTTCAAACCCAGTCGCTACGACCCAAGCATTTCTTTTTCTGGAATGTCATTGTCAGATGTGTCAGTAAGTAGCAACATAGTGTGTTTTGGGGATATTTATAAAATAAGAGGCAAGAGGGAGAATGAATAGTTCTTGTGTGATCGTTTTCTGTTAATTCATCCTATACTTGAAAACTAATGTATAAGGACTCCTAAGAACAGAGGTATGAAAATTCTGCTCTGATGGCATTTGGAGCTTAGCCTCGTTACTAAGTTGTTTATGTATTAACACACTTTCTACATTATATTGTGAAAATTGCTTTGAGAGTTCAGAAACAGACAAGTTGCTTTCTCTATGTGGTTTGTTTAGAAATGATCAGTACTATACTGGTAGTGACCTCATATTTTAAAGATTTGTACTTAGCTTCCTTTCACTGAAAAGGCCTCAGCTAAGGAATCCCTTTCTTTGCTCAGTGGGATTCATTCTTATAAATAGAATAAAGAATATTGGCTTACACTGAATTTTTCTTCTAAAATTATAATGGAAAGGACAGAAAAATATAATTTTGAAGAACAACTAACTGAAATTTTTCTATCTTCTTTAATCGGAATGTCAGTGTTTTTTAAAAAGTAAATCTATAAATTTGTGCCCTTTTGTTACGTAGTGTAATAGTCAAGGAAAACAGTGAAAGAGGAAGGCCACCTTCAGAATTCTGAGATCAGCCCTGCTGGCCCAGTGGCCATCGAGTTGTGGTGACCCTGTGTATGTCAGAGCAGAACGGTGCCCCCAAGGGTCTTTCTTCCAGGCCTTTTTTCCTAGGTACCTCTGGCAAGAATTGAACTTCTTGCCTTTTGGCGAGCAGTTGAGCTCATTATCTGCATCACTCGGGGGCCACAGACATGGATGTACCTCTGCTTTCCTGTATGGCTTACCAGTAAACCAAGCTATTTGGCAAATATCATCCTTGAAATACTCATTTATCCATACTGAGTCCTTTTTCTTGGATGTGCATGGAATGTTTTAATTGGTATATTGGCATTTGCTACAAGCCTATTAAAGATTGTAGTTTTGGAAGTTCTTTCAAAATGTATAGTTGGGTATAGCAAAGCCTCAAATCCCCTTTCCATGAGATTCCCTGAATGAGGTTCTCACACTTTCTGGCTGCAGAACTTATGCTTTTAAAACTTATTGGGGACGTTGAAAAACTTTTGGTTATGTGGGTGATGCTTATCAATGTTTACTATCATAGAAGTTGTTTTTTTTTTTAGGTAAAAAGATATTTATTGATACTAAGTGATGTAACAGCTGTTTTCCATATCTCTTAATAACTTTAAACATTATTTCTATAACAGTTTCTCAAGTAATAGGGTCTAAAGAACAAAAATGTTTAGATTAATATACAAAATCACCTTAGGGAATTACTGCA